GGTTTTCTTATAGCCATTTCATCTTTTGCTTTCTGGTAGCTTGGTGTTTCCATTACTTCATTGTCCTTGTGTTTTCTTTATTTTGCTTGGCTTTTGTGGGTTTTCCCTCTGGTTCTTCTTGTTTTGTTATATACTTCAGTTCTGAATCTTCTTGTGTGGTTACCATTACGAATATGTAAAGGAGATAGATAGACAGATAGATAGATAGATAGATAGATAGATAGATAGATAGATAGATATAAATAGATAGATATAGATAGACACACACACACACATGTGTTGTGTTCTTTATCTCCAGAAGTTCTGTTCTGGGTTTTTCTGAGGGTTTCAATCTCCTTGCTAAAGAACTCATTCTGCTCGTCTAGTTTGTTGTTCCTGAAATGCAGTGTGTTCTTTATCTCCAGAAGTTCTGTTCTGGGTTTTTCTGAGGGTTTCAATCTCCTTGCTAAAGAACTCATTCTGCTCGTCTAGTTTGTTTTTCAGTTCCTGAAATTGTTGATATGATTCATTTCGGATCTCACTGAGTTTTTTCAGAAGTACCGTTCTGAATTCTTTGTCATTTAAGTTGCATATTTCTATGTCTGTACGCTTATTTTGTGGAAATTTTCTCTTTCTTTCTGAGATGCTTTGTCATCTTGGTTGTTCATGGTGTTTAATGAACTATTTCTCCTCCTGGACATTAATGGAAGCGTATCCTGCTTTTTTCCCCAGAAAGATTTATTATATAAAGGTCTCTCTAGGCTGTTCCAAAGAAGGCATTTTTCTTTTGGTTTCCAGAAGGTGGTGTCTAAGCCTCTTGGATCCCTGCTTTATATAAAATGTTAATAATGTCTTTTTTTTCCTTATAGCTGTTTAATCACACTCGCTACCCTCAGTCTCAGTCCCTGTCAGTGTTAGCGACAGTTTCCTTAGCGTTTGCTTAGATTCCCTTGGGGCTCCGCTGTGTTCGGTCTTGGAGGATATGGGAGGAGGGGCCCTCTGGGTTGGGAGTTGGGGGCTGCGGCTCAGCCTCGGTTTTGCAACCGTGGCTGGTAAAAATCAACTTGTGTTTCTGTGCCGTCAGCTACATGGAGCTCACAGCTCTCCCAGGCACGGCTGTTCAGGGAACTCACCGCACCTTCTCCCTCCCCCTCCTCCTGTAGGGAGCTCCATCTGCGAGAGCCAAATTCTTTATTTCTCAGTCCACCGCCTAACACCTGGGGTTCTGACCTGTGGTAGCTCTTATGCGCAGATCCTACGCTCAGATGTGCTAGTGTGCAGTTTGGGTGTCTTTTGTTGAGTTTTAGATGTTCCGCTTATTGTCGTTTAAGGGGAGAGATCTAGGGACATCTCTCACTCCACCATGTTTCTGACATTACTCCCCCTACCCCCTTTTTAGATAGGTAGCATTCTACATGAACTTTTCTTCCCCTTGCTTTTTTACATTTTACAGTTTTTACCTATATCCTGGGGATGATCAGGACATTTTACACAGTAACCTGTCAGAGTAAAATAACAGTAGCAATGCACAGTGGACTGTTAATAAGAAAGCTACACCCTTAAACAACAAAATATTCCGTTCACTTCATGGCAGCAGAGGTTATCCATGTTTGAATAAGACACAGCTGGTGAGATAGTCTGTAGTCTTTCCCAGCTCACCTCCTGTCTATATTCCATCCAGGTGTCAGTGTTGGCCCCTTGGCTCTTTCTCTGAATGATGATAGCCCGTGCTGAATAACAGCCTACAGGCATTCTACTTATTCCTGGAGGACCTGGGACAGTAGCCATTCAGAATGTGGTAGAGCAGGGAAGATCTCAGTGCAATGACC